AAATATAACAGAAGTTACACAAGTCCTCTACACTGAATTTCACAATGCAATATTGAGAGAAAAAAAAAAATAAAAAAAAAATAAAGACATAATTTTTTAAAAAAAAGAATAAATAAAAAGGAATTGAGGAAAAGAAACCTTTTATAAAACCAAAATGTGTGCTTTTCCTTTTTGTTAACAGTAAATCCAGTAGTATTTTCTTTTTTTGTTTGTTTATACATTTTGCTTATTTATTTTAAATTAATTTTATTAAATCATAATTCTATACATTTATGGGGTACAATGTGATGATTTGATATACAATGTGGAATGTTTAAATCAAACTGATTAACATAATCATCACCTCACTTACTTATTTTTTGTGATAAGACATTTATAATACACTCTTAGTTATTTGGAAATGTACCCTTGCATTGTGCACATTGAGATCCCACCAAATATCCTCCCTCCATTTACCCTCCCACCTCCAAATGGAAAAAAGTATACAAAATACTCAATACTATTATGAAACCAATATATAGTCACTTACACATTCATATATGAATGATAAAACACAAATATAGTCCAAACTCTGTGTTTGTCACCAGGCATTTTCTTAATTCTACTCCTTTCCAAAAAGATTTATTAATTTTCCTGAACTTCAAATTCTATTCTTCAGGTTTCTAAACCATCAAGCTACTTTTGGTGATGATCTGCCCAACCACATAATTTCTGGAAGAGTTCTGATAAAACCAAATGTGAGAGAGTTTACAGAGACATCGGCCATCTTTGAAGATGACACAGAAGAGGACATTGATGTCATCATCTTTGCTACAGGCTACACGTTGTCTTTCCTTTTCTTGGAGGATGACTCAAAAATCCTGGACAGCCAGCACTCTATGTTTAAATTTGTGTTCCCTCCTCAGCTGGAGAAGCCAACACTAGCTTTTATTGGCATCATCCAGCCAGTGGGAGCCACCATTCCCACTGCAGAAATCCAGAGCCGATGGGCTGTACGTGTTTTCAAAGGTATGCTCTGACCTGATATGAACATTCAGAAAAAGTATACATTAGGTGTATACATTAGGTGGTGTGAGTTAAGAAGCATTGCCAAGGTCATCCTGGGCAAAATATCTCTGATGTTAAAACCTTCACAATGTCTAAAATCCTGCCACTTGAGATTTGTTTCTTCAGTGTTTGATAGCTACTTATTTAATATTTAGGATTCTTAGGCCAGGCACAGTGGCTCACACCTGTAATCCCAGCACTCTGGGAGGCCAAGGAGGGAGAATCACATGAACTCAGGAGTTTGAGACCAGCCTGAGCAAAAGCAAGAGCCTGTCTCTACTAAAAATAGGAAAGTTAGCTGGGCATTGTGGTAGTCACCTATAGTCTCAGCCACTTGGGAGGCTGAGGCAGGAGGATGGCTTGAACCCAGGAGTTTGTGGTTGCTGTGAGCTAGGTGGAAGTTATGATTCTCTAGCCGGGGGCAACAGAGTGAGATTCTGTTTTCAAAAAAAAAAAAAAAAAAATTGGGGCTTGGCGCCTATAGCTCAACCGGCTAAGGCACCAGCCACATACACCTAAGGTGGCGGGTTCGAATCCCCAGCCCGGACCCGCCAAACAACAATGACGGCTGCAACCAAAAAAATAGCCGGGTGTTGTGGCGGGCGCCTGTGGTCCCAGCTACTTAAGAGGCAGAGGCAGGAGACTCGCTTGAGCCCAGAAGTTGGAGGTTGCTGTAAGCTGTAATGCCATGGCACTCTACCCAGGGGGACAGCTTGAAGCTCTGTCTCAAAAAAAAAAAAAATTGGGATTCTTATATGAAAATAACAAATCAAAATCTATTATCTTAAGCTATCACCAAATAACAATTTATTGGCAAGTAATACTTCAGAGCACTATGGGGATGTATAGTATAAGAAATGAGAGCAGAAGGAGAAAAGAGATCTCAACAAGAAGCATTGAAGGGAGATGACACTTGGACTACCCCCCAGCAGGAGACTGAAATCAAAGACAGTATTTTTTTCTCAAGTTTCCATTCAAAACATAAAGAAGACAAGCAGGTACATATAGCACCACAGCACATTTACAAGAACAAGGGCTTTGTGATCAAATTGTTAAAAAATTAAAACTCATCTCTCCGTGTACTGGCTGCGTAATCTTCACATGCTGCTTGATCTCCATAATTTCATTTGTAAAAAAATGGGATGACCGATATCTACTTTTCAGGGTGGTGTAAATTAACAATCAAGCACCTTGACTTCGGTAGGCAGTCAGTGAAAACTGATAGAATGAACTGATTGAATGAACGGAGATTAACTGCTGTTGTAATCCTTTATTAATTGTTCCTTATTTTACTATTATTCTAAGCTTGAGAATGAATCAGTTAAGACAGATTCAAAACGTCCCTCAGTCATACTGTAATAATTTTGCTCCTTTGTCTCCTTCCCTTTTGAAAAGTTTACCACATTTTCCTGGAACATTCTGTGTATCAAAATATAGGATGTCACCTGTCTTAGGAATGAAGAATTGTAAGAAAGTGCCTTTCATGAGTTAAAATGGGAAATTAGAAATAAATCTCTGTTCAGTGAAAACAATGAGGCGACATGGAATCCTCACTAATAGCTACAATCCATGTTTGCAAACTAAGTCATATCATAAACAAATGAGCATAACTCACTATGGAAAGGAGAGCCAGGGTGAGTGCTGTTAATAGGACCACAAACACGTTAATTTGTGACTTGTCTGTTGGGTGAGACTCCCTTTGGCTTATCCTTCTTCGTGGGTGTTGAGGTCTGCTAATCAAGATGTGAACTCATCAGATGTGAGCCAGGACGTGTGCCTGCATCTGACAAGCACCTGGGAAAACAATGCGTGGAGGGCACTGCAGAGCAATTCCAGCATCCACCTTCTCTCCCCAATGCCTGCACCACCTACTCACCATGTTCTCTGCCACATTGAACCTATTTTCTACTGAAACCACATCTTCTTGATAAGAAAGCCATGTTCTAATCTGGAATTTCTTTCCTAGGATTGAATAAACTACCTTCAGAGAGTAGCATGATGGCGGACATAAGAAAGATGAGAGGGAAGTTGGAAAAAGTGTAAGAAACCTGTTTCTTGGTGAAAGTCAATTGAACGTGTTCAGGAGGAGCTGTTTGCTTACCACATATTCCTTGTATTTTTCTGGTCCTAAAATCTGAATCTGTTCATTTAAATAAGTTCTCAAAGTACCCACTTTTATATCTCGTCTTAACTAAGCATAACATCAGATATGGAACATTTTAGGGGTGAAATGGAAACAGAATAGTCCACCAAGGATACCTCAGAGTTTTTTGGAAGTCCATAGAACAGCAGGTACAGCATATAATTTTAAATTTATGACAGTTTTACAGATGTAAGGCATATGGGAATTTAAGATGAAATGAAGGATTGTTTCATTCTTCTAAGGAGTTGAAAAGATAGATCAATATGAGAAATGAGTTGCCCAATCACTACAGAATCTGAATAAAATTCTGATAAGGTCAGAAGCTTGTAGATTGTGCCCAAATCTTCTTAATAGAAAATTATTCTCCCCCACCTGAGTTGTGAGTGTAATTAATTTTTTTTCAGTAAATATCTGTTGAGAATCTACAATGTGAATGTCACAGCATGTTCCCTAAGATCAAAGGGCTGACATCCTAGGAACAGTCAGTTATCAGAGTAACTTTAATTTAAGAAGGTGAGCCAGGAATTGCATTTCAGTAATACTTAAAATCAAATTACTGTCACACATACCTGAATAATTGGCCTATACAATTCATACAGCACAGTTCTCACCACTGATTTACTGAGAGGAGATTATATCCTGAAGGCGAATCAAATGCATGACAAAAAGACAGAATTTAGGAAAAGGAAAAGATGTCATTGATAAGACAAACATCTTCTGAAACCTGCCTATTACTATCCAAAACTCCTTCAGTGGATTTGGGGTAGGGATGAATACACCTGTGTGAATGTTTCTTAAAAACCACTGTGACTGGGGTAGCTGAAAACAAAAGCAAACTCATCTCATCTCTTCGTTGTTTGAGAAATCATCAATGGTCTGGTTGCTATTAATTTTTTGCCCTATAGATAAACCCCACCTACAATGTCCACCCAGTGTACACAGGAAACGGTGCTTGAAGGGTTGAGAGTCGGATGGGGCAGTTCTGATTTTTGCCTTTCTGGTTTCAGATTCCTGAATGGTCCTCGCGTTACATACGGCAGGGTGCCGTATGTGGATTACATGGATGAAATTGCCTCGGAAATAGGTGTGAAGCCCAAACCGCTCTCCCTCTTTCTGTGGGATCCACTGTTGGCCAAGGAAGTTTTGTTGGGACCGTGCACCCCTTTCCAGTATCGCATCCAGGGGCCGGGAAAGTGGGTGGGGGCCCGGGGAGCCATCCTGACCCAAAGAGCGTGGATCATCAAGCCTCTGAAGACTCGCGTCCTCGCCTGCCACCAGCCTCCACTCTCCATGCCATTTTGGCTTAAAAGTGTCTGTGCAACCTTTTTCCTCTTGGTCCTCACTTTAGTCGTTGTTAAAGGATAATCCTCCTATTTCATCATCATGTAGAACTCAACAGTGGCACACAGTAATTGGGTAAAGGCTTTTCTCTCAGTTTGGACTAGAACGATGCAATGCATTGTCTAATAATTCCGAATTTTCTCATACATGAATATTTTGGAAAAACTGGCAATTCGCTTAACAGAGATTTCAAATGAAGTGGCTTGTTTAAAACTTTACTTGTGGAGTGCACATTTAGTTTCTATAACATGACAAATGTTCTCTGCTACACCAAGTATTTCTAGGCTCTCTCTAAAGTAAACACAATTTGTCAGTTCTGTGCAACTGGCAAATTGATGTTTCTGCATCCAAAGCGTAGGCTAAGAAAAAGCATCTCTTCAAATGTTTTGAAAAAAGTTAACACGAAAAATGTCCTCATCAGAAACCCCTTCCAGGCAGGTCACATTTTACAGAATCTGGACATTGAGGTAGCAGGCTGTTTCCAGCATGTTTGAGATTTTGCTAAGGTATGGAGGGTGGCATGGAGAGAAAAAGAGGCAATAATAAAAGTCAGGAACTATGCATAATTTTGTGTTCTATTAAAACCCTCAAAATACATAGAATAAGTCCTATAGTAAATATACAAATTTCTATAAAAACGCTCAGGACAATGAGAAGCAGATATGGGAGAAAAGAGAAAAAAATGTATTTGCAGCACTTATAGACACTAATGATTAATCAGAAAGGTGATGTATTTTAGATTCTAATTCAGTCATTCCTGTCACCAAGCTATGTTGGAGTCTAGTCCTGATATTCTGTATAATAGTTTTTTTATCTGAACAATTACTATATCACTCATTCTTTCACATACTCAAAAAGTATTTGTTTAGCACATGCTGTGTCAGACATGTGCTAACACTGGGAATGTGCACTGGGTGGCATCCAGTCTTACAGATACAATGCCACCCATGTGTTGATGATGCCTTATGACCATCAAGAGCTTGCAATGAGAAAAAATAGGCATATAAACAGACAAATAGCAATTGAACACAGGTACATCTGTCTATAACAAAAATAGGAACAAAGTACAGTTGGAATTCAGAGGACAGGTCTCCAGAGTTGGCCTGGCCCCGCTTCAAAGCTTACTCACATCACCACATGCTTTCCAGTATGTTCAAACTTACTAAACCAAACTCTGGTGGTTTGCCCTAGAGATGTGCTTCTCCATCTCCATAAAAGGAAACTCCATCTTTAGTCTCAAACCAAAAGTGTCAAGAGTCTCGATCCCTCTATTTCATACTCCACATCCCATTAGTAGCTCTCAGCAAATCTTTTCAATTTCAAAGTAAATCCAGAATCTCCTCACTTCTAATCAAATTACTCATCAAATTGATTTCATACTCCACATCCCATTAGTAGGCTCTCAGCAAATCTTTTCAATTTCAAAGTAAATCCAGAATCTCCTCACTTCTAATCAAATTACTCATCAAATTGATTTCATACTCCACATCCCATTAGTAGGCTCTCAGCAAATCTTTTCAATTTCAAAGTAAATCCAGAATCTCCTCACTTCTAACCAGCTTCACTGCTGCTAGGAGTCAGAAGACTTTAAGCAGGGACAAGGAAATGAGGCCCAGAGAAGAAGGAGGGTCAGGAGAAAGGGCTGGGTATAGCCAACAGGCCTGGGAAATCCCCAACAGAAAGGTGCCACAGAGTGCCCATGTGACCCAGGCAGCCATTAGTCAATAGGTGTCACTTGGGTGGAACATACCAGAAAAAAGACCCCCAAGGGGACTGGGCAAAGGCAGCTCACTGGTGAGCAAGGAGCCAATAACCACATTTTAATTTGAAAGAGCTGACCAGAGTCCACCACCAATAACCAGCTTAGGGCTTAACACCCCACTAGACAAGGAGCTAAAAGCAGCAGCCTGCTTGTTGGGGACTCCCTCTGCTGTGCTGAAGGCTTTCCTCTTTTCTTTCTTCTCAATAAGTTGTCTTTCTTTTGCTTACTTGAGGTCCATGAATTCATCTTTGATTCCCAAGAACAAGGACCCAGCTGGAAAATTCTGGTATCACTGCTACCACCTTAATCCCTGCCACCATCTTTTTTCTGCATTACAGAGGTAGTCTCCTCACTCAACTTATACTTCACTGTTAATTCATGTGGTCAGTTTTCATTACATCAGCCAAATGATACTTTTTAAATGTAAGTTCAGATTATGACACATGCTTCCTCAAACAGCCAATGACTTCCACATCACTCAGAGTAAAAGCCAGATCCAAAGGCCTACAGTCCACTCATGATCAGTGTCCCCACTTCTTTTCTAACCTCATCCACCACTGGTCTTCTCTGTGTTCATCCCTGGAACAAGCCAACTCCTACTCATTGGCCTTCTTTTCTGCAGGAGCACACTTCTCCCACACTACTCCCTCCCTCCTTCAGGAGTTCACTCAGGTGCATCTTGCTCAGTGAGGTCTTTTCTGACTGCCCTGGGTCAGACAACACCCCTTGAAACAGTCACTCCCTTTCTTCCTTGGACTGCTTTACTTTGCTTCCTGTTATAATACTTTTCAAGCATATTCTCATATCCTCTTCTTTGTTTTTCTATCTCCTTTTTCAAAGTGGTGGGGATCTTACCTTTTTTTTTTGGAATAGCTTCTGGCACAAACCGGGTACTTAAAAAATGTCAAGTAAACAAAACAAGTCAATATTATCCTCATCTATCAAGAGCTTGCAATGAGAAAAAATAGGTATATAAACAGACAAATAGCAATTGAACACAGGTACATCTGTCTATAACAAAAATAGGAACAAAGTACAGTTGGAATTCAGAGGAAAGAAAGCAAAGAACTCAATGAAGGGAAATGAGGAAGGATTTGCAGAGATAGCAAAGTTGGCTTGGATCATCAAAGATGTTTAGGAACTTTTCTACAAATAAGAAAAAGGATGGAAATCAAATATCAGTGGGTGGGTGGAATAGCTGGGAATGCTGGAGTGTGGGAGGGTGTGACAGAGGCGGTCTAGGGTAGAACTGGAGGAATCTCTGCTCTCCACACGGATCCTCACTCCTTTGGTTCATGGAACCAGAACCACAGCCTCCCACCCCTGACTTCCTGTCCCTTTTCCATCCAGATCCTAATCTCCCCGCACTCAGCCTCTCCATACACACCACACCAACTCCCAAATTGCCACCATCATTGACTTTCTAAAAATCAAATCTGGTCACCTCATTTTCCTGCTTAAAACCTAATTTACTCTTTATTGTCTATGGACCTAGGCTAAAACTCTCATTTCAAATTTTCTTAACTTTATTAATCCAGAAGGGCAATGTTGGAATTCAGATTTGAATCTGATACATATTTCAATTGCCTCCACATCAAACCTCTTTCGGTAGTCTTAACCCTTCTGAGGAGAGTAACCATTACCATGTTCCCCTCTTTTCCACATTGTTTCAGACACCGTCAGATAAGTAAGGGTAATTATAAGAAAAGAGGAAGGTTTGGGTTTTGGTTTGGGTTGTTTGTGTTCTTTTTTCTTTAGTAGTAGGGGTCTGACCTCACTGGCCCTGTCCAACAACAGTTCTTAAATTTCAATCACATAGTAATCCTCTAGAGAACTTTTTAAAACACAGATTGATACATTCTACCCCCAGAGATTATAACTCAGTAGATCTAGATTATTTGTATTTCTGCAAGTTTCAAGGTGATGCTACTGTTGGGAACCATGCAAGAGGCCCACTCCCCTACAACAGCGGTAACCATGTGGTCAAAAAGACTACCTCTGAATTCTGAACTCATGTTATATGTCCACAGGAAATTAATTGAGCCAGGAATATCAAAGCACAGAAGTTTTGGAACTGTGATGGGTCCCACTTTTTCACTCTGGAGCAGTTGCATGGGCAGATATAGAGATGGCAAATACCAGACCCTCTGGAACACTGAAACAGCCAGATCAACACCCTCTTTAGGTGAATCAAAGACCTAGAGAGGGATTCTTCCTTGGCCCCAGCCAGTTCTTCCTGAGCCCTACCCAGGGGCTCAAAAGTGGCAGCGAAACTCCCTACTACATCAGCTTCTACACTCACATCACCTCCCACAGAGCTCATTCCAGTGGAAGCATATAATAAATACTTGTGCCCTAATATCAAATTCCGCTTAGCCGCAATATGCTGGAGGGGTTCATTATAAATGGAAGGCACTTTCCTAATATTTTTTTGCCATATGCTTATCCTGAATCTTTGATGGTGTCTTTTTCAAAGAAGCAATAATTGCACCAGTATAATTTTCAACATCAGATAATCCTTTGTACAAAAGCTTTCTGAGGTCAGAAAGTTTTAATCCTTTTGTCCTCAGGAAATGCAACAGATAGGTTAAGCTATCTGGGCCTCAGGCTGTACACAGAATCACTGGGTGTGGAGGTTAAAAACCCAGAACTCTTACAAGTTGTATCTTGTGTTTGAAACAACACAGTTGCTTAGACATAGTCCCTTCACTTTTCTTGAAAAGTTTACTAAAAGAAACTTTAAGAATTAAGAGCTTGAAAAAAACATGACATGACCAGTTTGATGGAAGTATTTCAGATTGCATGTGAAAACCCTACACTGTACCCCAGAAGTGCATTAATGTACATAGTTACCATTCAATAAAAAAAAAAAAAGAAAAAAACATGATATGAGACTGGAATTTTCTTTCAAACCATGTAAACATAGAAATGTCTAATAATTATTATAGTTCTGAGTATAATACTGAACAGACATAGTCCCTTCACTTTTCTTGAAAAGTTTACTAAAAGAAACTTTAATTAAGAGCTTGAAAAAAACATGATATGAGACTGCAATTTTCTTTCAAACCATGTAAACATAGAAACATCTAATAATTACTATAGTTCTGAGTACAACACTGAACACAAAAGTCAATGTTATTTTATGAAAAAATAAGTTACATAATAATGATGGTTTTGAAAATCAGTAATGGAAGCCAGGTGTGGTGGCTCATGCCTGTAATCCTAGCACTATGAGAGGCCAAGGCACAAGAATCACTTGAGC